TCTAATTTCGCGCCAAGAGGAGGCGGTCTCAACCCAACTCCCGCGCGGCCATCGCCGCCTCCACCTAACCGCCTCAAGTGTTTGCTTAAGGTCTCTAATTATGAAATTGCCCTCGGGTCCCTGTGAAACGTCGTCACAAAATTTTTACTTTTTTTAACTTTTAACCAGTTGGTTGTAAGGTTCTCAGCAATATTTCGCAATTATTTGTAGTTAAATAATACGATTTTATTATTATTTAAAAAACAGTAGCAAAACTGCGTGACGTGCTTGATTGTTTTCCGGTGCTTGACACTACTGTAGCCCTTAAAAAAGCTTTCTTCCTTCTATTATTCCTCCTCCTGTAGTCTTTATACATGTTTATATCGATGCCGTCATGTTTCGGTGACGATTTTCCTGAGAGCCCGCTTACAGCACGAACACCCGGATAATACGGACATTAAGGCATGTCCACTTGGTGTCCGTATTAACCGGGTTCCACGCACTGTAAAATTAAAAGTTTTCTTTACGTTTTAAAAGCGGTAAATTATGTTGACGTCAATGCCTGTCAAATAGGATCGAAATGTTGAAAACTGATATTTTAAAGTCCAGTTGCTATATTTATGTTCAAATTGCTATATATACGTATGGCCATAGTTTCAAAAGTACTGCGTCCAGTGTTCGCTATATATATAACGCCACGTACTTCTTTATTACAGCGAAGATATCGGTGACATCATGAGCACTGGGAATATATCAAGAGCAAGTGTTCTTTAATCGCCTGTCGCTCCATTCCTATTCAAGATTTTGTTCTGAAACGTGGCCAAAACGCTAATTTTGTTTGCATGGATTATTTTTCAATCAAATAAAAATTATATTACGAGTTTCAGAACACTTTACTCGTGGCCTGTTTACATACATACTTACATACACGTATACTTTATTTCGTAATGCAGGTCAGCAGTGGCCACGGCACGTTCCGATCGAAAATCTGTTGTTTCTGAGCTGTCTTGTAAAGCACCATAGCAGATTTTGATGTTTTTCATACAATAATATAGGAATGCTTCACTGTAAAAGTTTGGCGGAAACATACCGAAAACAAACACATGCAAGGACTGCCAGCTGCCACACGCTTGGGTGATTTTGGCGCACGTGATCACAAATGACGTCAATCTTTGTAAAACTGATATCTTCGCTATATGGGCTTTGTGTTATCCTGTTTGTGTTTTGTACGGCTCAACATGTAGCCCTAGCAACCTTTGTGAAGATCCGCGCTAACTCGCTTCACGTCTTTCCCTTCTTAACGTCCAGTTGATTTCAGTACGAATCTCGTTCAAGCCTTAATGTTTTTTTTTCGCAACAGCCTACGTTGCGCACATAAATTCGGTGATTATTTCATTTCTAAAAGTATTACTGTAAGATTACGCAACTGATATATTATGCAAATAAACAATACAAATCACAAAAGACGTCACGGTATCATTACATCTGCAGGCAATTGTTCTAGCAGTTCAAAACACGTTTGTCGCAGATACTTATCCAGCGTCCAGTGAATCACCTCATCTGTTGAAGGTTTATATTGTAGAATTATAAAGGTAAGTTGTATTTGTAACAAGTAATTACTGTTCATGCTTATGAACAGAATCAATATTGCAATGAGTTGCCCCGCGATGATGTGATGTTGGCATTTTCTATGTAAACAAGACGTATTAGTGTTTCTTTTTAATGTTAATGGATCCACTTCTCTTCGTTCAAGTCTTTTTTCTGATTCTCTAAGGTGAAGAGGATCTGACAATGAGGGCACTGCTACAGCAGATGCTGCCATTGGAATCTCTCGCTCATCCTGTTGCCATCGCGTCTCTTGTACTCCTGGTAGCGTTGTTTCTCTACTGGTATGGAACGCGAGGCTTCGCAGTTCTCAAGATACTCAACGTCCCTGGTCCCAAACCTATTCCGTTCTTCGGAAACTTTCTTGAAGCGAGGAAATATGATGGTCTGCATCTCATGCATCTCGACTACCTCAAGAAGTACGGTAAGGTTTACGCCATCTGTCTGGGTGATAAACCTTCGCTCGTCGTTGCAGATCCAGAGTTGTTGAAGCAGATAATGATCAAGGACTTTCCAAACTTTCGCAATCGTTTTCAAGTACAAAGCCCGCGTCCACTGTTTAACAAGAACCTCTCAAATGCGAAAGACGAGACTTGGAAGAGGATCCGTAACACGCTGACCCCCACGTTCAGCGCGGGAAAGATGAAGCTGATGGTGCCATTGATCGAGAAGTCGTGCGACACTCTGCTGGAAAAACTGGAGAAAATTGCTGATTCAGGTGAATAATGAATTGAGTTGTTGCTCGTCACAAATTAATTTAATCATGAATAGGTAGCTGAGGTGTAAGGTATTCCCTGAGGNGTATATATGAGCTTAAAGCCCATACGTAACGTATGTAAACAAGTATACGCGGCAGAAAAACCCGCGTATACCCTGTCGTAATTTTGAAACGAATGGCCACCCATAGAAATCAAGAATTTCATGTACCCGACACCATTCCAGCCGTTTTGTGAGCCCGCGTTCCTTGCCCCACATTACCCGAGACCACAGTGCGCGCCTACTTTCATCAAAGTAGAGAACGCTTCACATACTACCAACACATTTCTTACTTTTATATGTATACATGCGGTGAATCCTAGGGTGCCTCCTCGGGATTTGACCTCTGGGCCAAAACCCTGCGGGGGCAATTACCATGACAATTATTATGAATTTAGTTGCATGATCTGGTACTTGTGTTTCTTCTGTTTTAAACAATTCATTAGATGTCTTTTATCAAACGTTTAAATTATGGTTTATAAAATAACTGAGCTACTACGCGCGCTCTCACTGGTCGATAGGTGTGTTAAGATGAGGGTATGTAAACATGGTTGTGACGTTTAAGAGTCGCGCGTATTTTTGAGAATTATTTTATAAAAGCAATAGGGTACTTTTTCCGTGTTTATATAGCCTCATCTAAACACTCGGGGGTTGGGAGAATTCTCGAAAGTTATGCAAACCCTCGACTACGTCTCGGGTTTGTATATATAACTGTCTCGAATTCTCCGAACCCTTCTCGTGTTTAGATGAGGCTATGCAAACACGGAAAAAGTGTTCTATAGCTTAAATACTGTACAAAGTAAAAACCCTCCAGTAAGAACTTAGATTTTAAGACCCTGCTAGGCTAAAATTTGCCAGTTAGAGCCCCTCTGTACAAGAACCTGTTTAGCCTAAAATTTCAAACAAGTTCTTATTTTCTAAATCATAGGTAACTTATAGGTAATTTGATTAAAGGAATAAGCTGAAAACCACTAAATTTGAAAGCTTAACTGAAATTATTTTCTTAAGAAAATAAGAACCCATTTAAGAACCTAAGGAGCCTAAATGTTTGTTGGATACCATTTATGTAAGAGCCTGTTTAGCCTAACTTGGGAAAATGCAGGTTCTTGCTCGTGGGTTTTTACTGTACTTGACAGCCAGGAAAGGTTGCCACAAGTGTGGTGGTCTATATGCAAATTATCTCTTCTGTATCTTGTTTGTTTGAATACAGCTGATATTTGTTTACCCTGTTGCTTGGTTTCTGATGTAAAATATGACCAAAAGGGTCATTTTAATGTGATCTACACAGTTGTGTTGCCGTGATCAAGTATTGAATGTTGTTTTGGTTCAGTCACTACATGTT